GCACCCTGAGGTGGACACCATTTCCTCCTACCCCCATTTTCTCACGTGGAAGCACTCCGGTGCCAACGGTCCACTCCCACTGCTCTGACTGCACCTGCTCCACGTCGCCGGCTCCAGCGATGGTCCCCTCGCAAGCCTGCAGTCGCAATGCCTGGCTCGTCCTGCCAGCTCATCTGTTAGAACTCAGTCTCCGCCCCATGGCACCAAAGTGCCCGCTTCTCCCACTGAAGACTGCGGCGGTGAGTATGGGGAGGGGCCCCAGCTGGGAGGGTACCCTGAAGTGATAGGGCGTTTCTCCAGAGGAGGGAGCATCAGGGGACCTGGCCACCAACAGTCTGGTAGAGGTCTTGGTTGACACCTGACATTTCCAGTGAAAGAAACCAATGTGAGGCCTTTGAGATGCTAGAGACACTCAGGCCAGTTGAAGGACAACAGAGCAGTTATGAAGCTATTCATTGACCAGACAGGGGCAAACCCAGAAAGCCAGCGATAAGCAAGGCAGCTTCAGGGTGCATTAGTTTGTTTGGGTATCTTTTTCACATAACCACCCTCCTACGACATCTACACAAATCTTCTCCATTCTTCTAAGGACTAATTCTGGTTTGTCATCATAATTTTGACATACTTACATAATTTTCAACACATTTCTAAGTCCTTTACTTCCTGGGCCATCAGGCAAGTCTTAGGACTGATATCAAACTAACTGTATCAGTCAGAAACCAAAAATACACGATTCTTTGAAGAGTAGCTTAGCATAAAGATTATGCTAAGGGGATTAATTTATCAGGGTAAAAAGAACTCCGAGAATAGAGGATTCGTGGCGATGGGAGCAGCCGCCACCTCCTGGGCTGAGGCATTCATTGGCTCCAAGGAAGTAGCATATTTTGGAAGTGTTTCCGAAGACTGAGATTCAGACTTTGTTGGAGAGAGTGTGGGTGTGGGCCCCAATTTGCTGAGGTGTTGCCTTCCAGGGCTGGGAAGCAGGGGGTGCCAACAAAACTGGCTAGAAAGCCACCCACTGGGGCTCTGCTGAGACTTGTTGGGAAAGCACCTGCGTGGGCGCTGCTGAAACTCACTGGAAAGTTGCCCTCGGAGGCTCCAGTTGGCGAGAAAATGGCAGGCCCCGGTGAACTTCCTGGGAGGCCGCCTCTAGCCCAGGAAGGGACCACTGACATTGACTGGGGGTGAACAACACGGGGTGTCCTGAATGCCACTGGCCCCTACACACTGCAGAACCAAGAAGAAAAACCCACCAGCATCACTTAAGGTCCCTTCTCTCCTGCAGCACCCCCTCCTAGAGCACCCCCTCTGCATTTTCTGACAAAGCTGCTGGCCAAGGAGAAATGTTTACAAGGTCCGGCTTCAGTATCTCAAAGAATGAATGTGGACTTGGAAGAAGTTGGTAATGGCTACATCCCTAATCTGTGGTCATCTCTGCTCAAGGCCCAGCATAACTCAACTTGCCAGCACAGGGTCGGGAAATGTTCAGTGACCGCATACCTGGATTGGTTGTGTGCCCAGTATATACGAGTTTCTCTAGTCTCCACTGTCACGAAACCACAAGAAATAGATGATGTCCTCCTATTACTGGACATTTTGATCAACGATTCTATAGAATCCTGATAGAAAGAGGGGAAATGCAGTACAGACTTTGATTATTCAGACTCGACTTCCTGGATCCAGGAAGGTTGAGTGAACCCGAAACTACTGCCCTGAGATAATCTGTAAACCTTAAGCCAAAAGTATCCCTGGAAATCTTCTACTAAAAACCAAATCTGCTATTTTCAAGTCTTCCCTGAGCACATTATCTCGATGGGATTAAATTGGTATCAGCAACTCTATTAGGATCTAATTGGGGCACTGCCTATGTTGAGAGCGCAGCAATTCAGGTGTGTGAGAATGGTTGCTCCCGAAGAATGCAATGAAGTACTGAACTACAGGTAGAAAAGTGCTTTCTTCTGGTGGTTCTATCATTGACTATGCAACACCCATGTGACTTCAGCCTTCCTGAGGGAGGGAGAGGGAAAGAGTACTCTCCTCAAAGACGCATTTGCTCCACTAGCATCAGGACGGTTTTAGATTTTGGTAACCTCAGATAGCTACAAGGGCAGGGGCAGGGGCGGTCCTGATGGCACAGCAGGTTAATAAGCATTTGCTGCTCACCACAGGTTTGTGGTTCACGGCAGTCACTCTGACAAATGAGGCTGCCAGCTCCAGTAAAGATTTAGTCTTATAAACCCTATGAAATTGTTCTGTAACTCAGAATTCACTCACCAGTCACGCAAGCCTTTAGGTTGGGTTCCCAAAACATGGCTTTAGATGGCCTTGTGCAAGGCCAGCTGAAGATTGGTGGACTTCGTCACTGCTATCGAATTGATGCCCTCATAGTGACCCTACAGGATAGGGCCCAAGTGTCCTTGTGGGTTTCCAAGGCTCCTCTTTACAGTGGTTTCACAAACTGCTGACCTTGCAATCAGCAACGCCGTAAGCCTCCAGGCCTTCTCACTGGTAGGCCTAAGGTACTTATAGATTGAAATATCCTTGCAACTCCCCAAAGCAGGCCCTACTCCCTACCCTGGGACATCTCATGGCTTGTATGCTATTTGAAAATGCCTAAGATCAGTTGTCTCATGCTCTCAATAGGCTGAACACATCCCTCCAATGACCCTACATTTTACCTGTGCAGATATTATGGATCGTGATGAATAGATTATCAATGGTGGGCTGGAATATGAATTTCAAGCTCGCTTTGGTGCCGTTTGTCAGTTGATTCATTATACAGTCATTTCCTACAAATATTGCAAGTGATTCTAAAATGATAAGTGCCTTCAGCAGTATTCATAACGTGGACCGTGGAAGGTCTTCCAGAGTTTACATCATGAGGACGTGTTTCCCCTCCCCACACAATCAGGCCATTGAAGCAGCCCCTGCAATTTAATCAGCAGACCCTGGGGGTCGCAGTCCAACTGCTGACACCCCGAGGATTAGCAGTACTCCTTTACCATGGGCATCGATTGGAATCAATCTTGAAATTCCATTCAGTGGTTTTATTGCTACCACAGGGGGTGGGGGGAATGCAGTCTTAAAGCATGTATGTATCCGGGCCTCATCTTTAGGGTTCAAATAAACACTATACTCACAACTGACACTTCCGAAGGGTTATTTTCCTGTTTTATCTTTCAAAACAATTATTGCCATTAAGACTTCCCAGAACTTCTGGCTTATCATGCCACCCATTCCCAAATACTGTGTGCCCAATTGTGGTTTTAAAAAAAAGTAACCAGCATGAAGGTATTGGAGTAGTTGTTCAGCTCATTTGAATAGCAAGCACATTTTGGGGGGACTTTCATTGTTCGAGAAAATGCATAGGTTTCATTAAATTCCTAAAGAAGAGCCCACAAGGTTAAGAATCATTCATCTTGATATGTCAAGAGTAATTATGGAACTGAACCAGACTAATAGAATCTAAATGGGCAGCTTTAATGGGCATTTCATATTAAAAATTGAAGACTGAAGAAATACTATGTATACTGTAAACTCAACACTAGACAAGAGATGCAAAGATACAAATGCATGGAAAGGAGATTCTAGTCTTAAGGTGAGAACAAAAACCTTATGGAGACTGTTAAGCTTTTCAAAAGCACTTTTACCATTGTCATAGAAAATCAAACGCAGTTTGTAAGTTTTTTCATCTCCATATGAATTCCACAATTCACCTAGAATATACTATTAACATTCCAAGTAGAACTACATTCAAGAGTAGCACCATTAATTAGGTATACTATAAAAACTCAATGTGAGATAAATTGGCTTAATTTCATTACTAATTTTCCCCCTGCTTGGACATTAACTTATAGGCAGCTAAAATATTCACTTGATTATGTAATTTAAACAGCAAGATGTCTGAAGCTTCTCTAAGAAAGCATTTTTTTCTGCAATGACATGAAGTAGCATTAAGCATCTATGTGGAGATCTCACGCAGATGTACTTGTCTACTGCATCCTTTGAACATTTTCCAAAGGCAGCTTCTAGATACATCTTAACCAGTACATACCTTCGCACACCAGAAAGATCACGACATTCCTAACGCTTTTGTTCCTGGCACAGCTGAACCTAACCACTGTGGACCTTCAAGACTGAGGAATTACCTTCTAAGAGTTCCTTCATGTCCAGGATTTGAGTCTAAGGTGTAGTTTCAAATAAAAACTACTTCAATAAGCACCTTTGATGTGCAACAAATTGATGACACAAAGCATCACTCTAGTGTCACACTGACAACGGGAGCTGCCATTCGTACGAACTCATAAACCACCCATGTCCGTTCTGGCCCACATGGTGACCTTTAAAACTCAGTATCACCTGGATACTGACACAAAATGCTGAGTACCATGTCATTCAAAATGCTACTATCAAGTCCTCACTTTCCATGAGAAAATATTTTTTTTTAAAGTTAACAAACGGGGAAAAGCCAACACCCAGGATAAAGGATTTAATCCAGCATTTATTCCACACTCATGATGGTTCTCGGTAATCAGAATACAAATCATAAGAACAATCTATCAAATAATTCGCTGATAGTTTTAAATAATGCACAATAGCATTACTCTTTAATATTTCTCTGTTCTAGAGTAAGTTTAAAAACTCAAACAGCAGTCTTCATCAATAAAAAAAGTTTTGAATCTTTAAAAAAGGACATTATCAAGCTGCATCATAATTTATTTTCCATTTATAAAAATGCTTTGGAAGCTTGAGACGTAAATCTTGTTCATCTGTCCCACCCCCTCCAAATTGCATGTTAGTATAGGGTTGCTGCAAGAATGCTAGGCTTTAGACATTAATTTTATCTTTAATATAGTATTTTAAAATCTGAGAATGCAAGAAAAAAAGATTACATGTCATGTATCTTTTCAAAGAAAGGGAAAAAGAAGTGAATAAATTTTAGGCATACCAAGTGTCCCTTTGAGGTAGAATGCTAAAAGGACTTTTGATCAAATCACAGCCTAATTTAAACCTCTGCATCAGAAACTAACTTTTCATAAATTCTCTCTAAAGGTAACTGTGGCGAATATAAGTGTAACATAGTAACAAGAGCCTTCCAAGGTAATATACAGTGGACAAGAGTGTTAATCCTACAAATGCTGCCTTCATGTACATTGGATGCACAGATAATTCTCCTATAATACACATCCAAGATTCATTCTCTGTCTTTGCATTCTATGACGAAAAGCACAGCCATGCTAAACTTCAGTACACAAACCATAATCCCACACCTACAAAACAAAAATAGAATTAGTGGCAGTTTATTGCCTTATACAAATTTAACCAACATGGCAACCATGCCAAAGGAATCAAAACATTTTCAGGACATATGTACAGACTGTACATTTTAAAAAATAACAAAAACAAACATGAAGAATGAACAATCTGTGCAGCATGTGTCAAACTCAACAGTTAGGTGAAAACATCAATGCAATAAATGGGATTACAAAGGCACTTCCCTACACAAGAGAGGAAATGAAAATGCAGCCTAAAGGGATCTTAAGGAACGGATATAACTACTGCACAATTTTAACTCAAGGGGGGAATAAAAGCAGATTTCATCAAACATTTATAGGATTCAATGTGATCCACTTTTACAAAAGAAAATTCACACAGTCTCATCTTTGTTTGTATGTTTGTCTTGGCTCTCACGGTCTACACTTTGGCTCCTTCGACGATCCTGTTTGTCTGACGGCTCCTTACTATCACTGTGATCTCGTTTGTGGGAGCGGTCTTTGCTTTTGCTACGCTTTCTAGATTTTTCTTTGCTGGGGCTATGTTCTCGTTTCTTCTTTTCAGTACTGTCAGTTCTTCCTTGACTGCCACTTCTACTTCGTTTGTTTGATTTTTCTTTACTTTCATTTTTGTGTTTGCTGGATTTCTCTTTGCTCCTGCTCCGACTCTGCTTTCCTGCATTTCTGCTCCTGCTCCTGCTCCGGTGCTTCTTCTCTCTGCTCCGGCTTCTACTGTGCCTTTTCTCCTTCTTGCCATCCTTCTTGTCTTCTCTATGCCGCCTGTCATCTTTGTCTTTCTTCTCCTCTCCATCACCTCTACTCCGGCGCTCCTTGGACCGTTCCCTCGATCGCTCCCTCTCCTTATCTCTGTCAACACCTCGCTCCTTATCATAGTCCCGATCTCGCCTTCTACCTCTCTCATTTTCTTTCTCTCTTTCTCGATCCCTGTCCCTTCTATCCCCTTTCCTATCACGACTGCGACTGCGACTTCGATGCCTTTCCCGACTCCTGCTACGCCTACGTTCTAATCCCCGATCAATACTTCTGGATCTTCGCCTTTCTTTTTCTCTTTCTTTGGCTTCACGTTCTAGTCGCTGGCGTTCTTTCTCTCTTTCTAATTCTCTGTCAAAACTAGAAGACCCGTGACCCTCTCGATGATGGCTTCTGCTTCTTGATCTTCTGGGGGACCTCCGTGGACTCAGTGATCTCCTGGGAGACCTAAGAAGAAAATGCCAATAGAAAAATCTATCACAAAAATTGTACTTACATCAGTATTGTTTACTTAGGTCTTTAGTTTACATACAAATAAAGAATAATTAGAGGAAAAACGGGTGTGTTCTTTTTACAGATGCACAATTGTGTTTAGAATGCTCAGAACGGTAGAAAGTCACCTTTGCCGGGGAAGTAATGAATTTAGGATGAATGGTACAAACAGCATTTCCTTTCAGTTTACATTAGCTTTCTATAGAGCATATTTACAAAACAAGTATGATCAAGCATTGTCTTACCTTGAACGTCTGCGCTCAACATGTCTGTCTATTTCCTCCGGGCCTTCCTTCCCATCTTTCTTGATTTTTCTGGGTCGGGTTTTAATCTGTTGATCAATATTCTTCTGAACTGGGACTGGAATTCTTGGAAACAAGGTAGAAAACCACTCCAGTTTTGTGAGAAAAGACCGCAGCATTTCTCCAATGGTCATTACACAGCCTCCACCAGCCTTCACATCTAGGTCCTACAGAAACACAAGAGATACCCTAGCCGTCAAAAAAGGTATTCCAAACATATACATGAATACTATAAAAATATTACCATCTTTGGAATCTCAAATATAAAAAAATTGTAACAGAAAAATTTCAATTTGTGTACCTTACTAATCTGGTAATGAATGACACAGAGAAATACTCGGGCTTGGTGTGTGCATGCAGGTGAGAACAAACCCTGCAGCCTCCTGGGCATAAAGGGACCTGGTCTCTGTTAACAAGACTAAGAAAAACCCCCTACCCTACAGCCCTAAACTACGTGGAACAATGGACTTAAATTCACATTCCGCACGCCTAACAAGTACATATTCTTTACTTCTGTGGACGTTTGTACACATCATACCTAGTACTGTCACCTAGCAACACATGAACGACTTCAGACAATTCCTGTCTATAAAGGTAGGTAATCTTTTAACAGCTAATATAAAATGAAGCCCTAATAAAACTGGAAGCAATAGCAAACCAACTGCCATGAAGCAGTGAGGTTTCTAATTTAGAGTTATGTAGAAAAGAAATAAATAAACAAATAATTGGAAACGCATAATCCATGATGACCATTGTCTCTGAAAAGGGTCATTACCGCATGAAGGCCTTCTTGCTATGCCCTCTCACAGCTCAGGACATGTTAGTCAGCTATTGTCAGTCCCAAACCTATAGTGCAAGCACACAAGGAAAGTGAGATTTGTTATCTAAACAGGAAAAAAGAGCTATACGTAAAACTGCTTGCACTCACACACACTTAAGTGTTCAGATATACAGTATTTTCCAAATATAATCGCTGCAGATATCTAAGGAAGAAAACAATACGTTAGCTTAAATAGAGGACCTTAGATTTGTAAACACAATAAAAAACAGATTAAATAGAAGCATTCAGAAACAAACCTAGTACACCACCACTTAGGAAAAGGGACATGCTTTAAAAAAATCTCTTCAAGCGAGAAAAAGAAACTTAAGATTTCCATTACAAGTGCTTTTCTAAGCCAACAAATTCTTTGGATGTATGTGTACAAATATGACTTTGAGACAAAGCATATAAAGCCTACTTTACAATCCTTTAAATATAAGTGTAGTGGTAGGGGTTGATATGCGGACAAAATACAGTTCATTATTCATTAAAAACTTTGAGCTCTTGGACTTCACTATGCCAGTTATTTAAGCTGACACAGCAAAGTCTTCCAAAGTTACTTTCTTTTCTTTTCTGAAGAGATGTAGTAAGCTCAACCTTGTGGTGTTTGAACAGTACACTAAATTTAGAGTTTTTAAAAAAATCTAAATTACACGGAGTCAAAAACTGGAATAAAAATACCATTTACTTGTTTTCTCACCCTGAAAAAGTCATCTAAGCTCTCAGCCTATTTTAAGTCCAACCCATCTCTTCAATTCTGTGCTTCGATGCAAGGAGAAATACTGAGTATTTGTAAGAAGTTAGATAAAGAACTGAAAAGTTCCAGGGGGGAAAAGAGCTCTAATTTGTATTATATGCACGTCTTGTATAACCTCAATGCTGATCAAAGACCACTAAGTAACTGGACAAATCAGGATCAATACAAGGAACATAATTTGGAAAAGAAAATTGTCAACAGTTACTAAAACACATTTAAACAATTCATTCAAAAACAAGGGGGGAAAAATCTTTAGAAATTTTAACCTAAGATATATAAAATCTACCTAGCCTTACATATTTGTCTGAAATAAATTTACATAAAGTTTCAGAAAACAGTGAACTTTCAATAAATAAAAGCTATTATAAACAAGTGAGTAATCAAAAGAAAACGAATTATTACCCTTGTTGACATACCTCTTCATCATCAAGGAAGGATTCGAACCAGTCCCATAGATCTGTAGGGGGCTGTGTGTACCTGAAATGATAATAGACTAGTAAGCTTATATGCGTTACAATGAATGTTGACTGAAAATATAGTTAAGTGGATTCTTACCTTATATACATAAATCCAAGAGCTCGAATATATGGAGAATCTGTGTGTGTTATGAGACCCATCACTTGCTTCCGAGTTAACTTCAAAGTAAACAATTTGTATAATAAGCAAAAAGCTGTAGAAACAATTCCTCCAGTTCCAACACCTCGAACCTGTAGGGTAAAGAGTTAAAGCAATAAATCCATGTGCAGAGTCCCCACGTGAATTAACCCTCCATTGAATTCCCTGGGGCCACTTACTAGGGATGTAGTCTTGCTCTCAAGACAGTGTGCCTTGGAAAGTGGATTACTATAGAGATATTTAGGTTGAAATTTGCCATGTTTTTCCTTTTGACCCATTTTTACTTTGTTCTAGATTCTATTATCTTCTGCTTTCACTTGGATTGAGATTTTTCTGTGTTCTACTTTGTGGCTGGTTTTTTGGTATGATTTTCTGTATATGAAATCCAGGGTATGCAAATCTACAGTAACAGTAACTAGATGAATAGTTTCTTAGGGTTATGGTAGGGAAGGCTGGAGGGGAGGGAAATGGAGAGCTAACAATAATTAGTCTAAGAATGAAAATGTTTAAAAATTGGTTTAAATACATTAAAAAGAGTTGGGCAATCACCACCACTGAATTGTATGCTATGCGAACTAGATGTCAATTTATGATTTTTTAAAAAGTGGTTAAGAGATCGTTAATATCATTTGATTAATCTTATTAGGAACTGAGCTAGCTATAATCTTATAATTGAGAAGAAAAATAATACTTCCAACCCCATTCCCTAGACACTTAAGTTTAGATTTTTAAAATTCACAACAGATTAAGATTTTTAGTTTTCAAAATATAATTAGCTGTCGGACACTCAAAAACTAAAAAATGCACGTACTTCTACTTACCCCTCCGCACATCCCTGTCTGGCCTGCTGTCTTCCTGCTTCCTTTCTCCCACGGCTCAACATGCGTGACCTGAAAATAGAGAAAAATGAGCACAACAAACAGTCATACTCTGGATTTTTTTAAAGTCTGCCTTAAGTAAACCCAAGTCCATAACTGAACAGCTCTTCCAAACGTGTTAGTGGGGCATTTGTATATCGTTTTATTTACTCACATTAAGTAAACCATCTTTGAAAATTTATTTACCTTTGTGCAAGAATGAGTATATAGGAAATACTGAAAAGACCCTTTGTTACCATTTAACGTAGTCTTTACACCCAGCAGTTAAAACTACTTGATGTAGCTATTTGCTCAAAGGGCTTAAAAAAGTTTGTGGAAAAATGGAATTAAAACACAATGAACGTTTTTAAGCTTCCTCAAAGATTCAGAGGGATGCATATGGGGACAGAGTCAGGTCCCCATATTACTTTAGCAAGGCTAAACCCCATTTCAAACTGCTACTAAACACATCTAGTCTCATATACCTGAAAAATCTACGAAGAAAGCATCCCAAAACAATGCAGTTACTTCTAAGTCAAAATCCTGGGTAACTTCTTACTTGCACCCTTTTTTTAAATGGTCATTCCTGACTACAGATGAAATTACAAAGGCTATATATACCTCCAGAAATCATGTTTGCTATTTTACTCAATGTGTTCATTCATTTTCACTTATGTGAACTAATGCAAAAATTTCCAAGCTACACCAAACATTTAGTCATTAAATAAAATCAACACGACAATCTTTGCTAAAGTGGGCATTCTGCAAAAACCACACACTTTTATCTAAAAACAGCCAACAACGCGACTTAACTATAATACAGATGTAACTACAATCTATCCTACTCTGCTCAGCAGAGGCCAGCATTGTTTGACTGCTTTCTTCCCCCAGGTTGCTGTATAAGAGAGACTCCAAATCCTGAGGTGACTGGGCTAGTCACAGTAAGGAGTGAATGCAAATGCAAAGCACACTTAGATCACTTGGATGTCTGGAGAGCAAAACCTGGGTCTTGAGTTTATGTGACTTTTAAGTAGCTTAAAACGGAAATCAAGCCTTTTCTCTTTTGCATTAACAAATTTGCCTGTTTTCTAACAGAGCCAGCTGCTCTTCAAAATGAACAGGAACTTAATGATCAACTATTTAAATAACGCTAAGGATTAACTATTACTTACTCGCCATACTGTATGATGCTGAAGAAGGTCTTACCCTTAAAAAGCTAATAAACCACCAAAAACACCTACTTCACAATATTACATTTAGATTTACAATGAGCTCATATAAGATTACCAATTTTTTTTCGGTGTACTATATAAACCCAATGTTGACCTGCACTCAGGCATAAATTTTATACTAAGATTCTTTAATGCAGTAAGTTATTCTTCAATAATTTAGGCCTTAATTGAGAAAGATATTAAAAACCCTCACTTAAAAGTAGTAAAAGAATTCTTCGGCTAAGACCTCTACAAGTATGCCCAGATCACAAAAATACGTCGGTCACCTCAAATGTTTTAAAAGACTAGGCATACAAGGTTCGCTGTATTAGTTATTCCCACTAAACGTAAAAGACCGTTGTGGTCACTAATCGTAGGAGGCCTGGAAGATACATAGTTTTTGAACTACGTATTTGCAGGGCGACATGGCAGATGCCTACCTAGTTGGTAAGAGAAAGATCCAAAACCAATGGCCAGGGGGTAAAACCGAATTAGCCGTTCATTAAACCAGGGAAATGCATTTATGGCGATTGAGCATGATTAATAGTGCATACCTCTACCTGCGACCCTGGGCTGCTCCGAGCCTCGCTGCAAGACTGAGTCAATCCTGCTAACGAAACAAGAACTGAGAGAAGAGTGCAGTGAGGAGGCGCTAGGCGAGCTCCCCAGCACAGCCACGCCAGCACCGACCCTGCCGCAGAAGCCCAGGGCCCAGATCATTCGAAATCAGCCCAAAGGCACAGGTGGCTGCGCCCTCTTCCTCCTGCCTTCCTGCTGGGAAAATTTCCAGGCCTTCTGCGCACCACTTGGACGGGCACCTCTCCACCCTGAACCCTCCCATCCCGTCCGGAGGCTCGCGGCGACCACGGCCATTTCCCTGTTCGGAGCAGATGGTGAGTACCCACAACTCGAGGCCGACGCTGAAGCCACACACGCCCCGGCCCCGGGGGAGCGGGAGAAGCACCAACAGGTTGGCGCTGCGTGGAATTTAGACGCCGTAAACTGAAGAGGCCTGTGTTCCTCCCCTTTCCTCTGCCCAGCGCTCCCCGGGGGTGGGAAGCAGGCGACCGCCCCACAGTGGCGGCCTCTCCGAGCCCGAACCGCCTGATCAAAGGAAGCGGGAGGGCGGCCCCAGGACGACCCCTCCTCAAGACTTACAGGCCGCGGCCCCCCATCGAGTCGACCTTCCCGCACCCACAAACCCTCCTTAGAGCTCTGCCCGTCTCCTGCACCCTCCCCTGGCCCGGAGTCATCCCTCGCTCCCGCGGCAAGGGCCTGGGAGGCTTCGTACCTTAAAGTAGATCTCGTCCACCACCTCGTGGTAGGTCTTGAGCTCGTAAAGCTGCACTTTGAAGTACGGCGACGACAGGATGTTGGTGAGGATCATAGGGTTGAGGTTCATGGTCTTCTCGTTGCCCCAGAGCGGCAGCACATTGCCCTGCTTGCCCGAGACGGCCGGCTTGGTGGCGCCGCCGCCGCCGCCGCACTGCTGCTGCTGCTGGACCGAGGCCGCGGCCGCCTGGTGCTGCGGGTGCGAATTGCCTGTCAGCGCGGGGCTGTTGTTGGCCATGTTGCGGCGGAAGGAGGGAAGGAGAAGGGAGGGGGGAGGGGGCCAAGCTCGATCTCGCTCTTCGGGACAACGGTCCAGGACCCTACTCCATGGAAGGCTGTCGGGAGAGGGGGCCGCCAGGCTGTGGCCCAGCAGGGTGCGGAGAGCAACGGGGTGCCGGCAGATGGGATCCAGGCCGCGCGAGCAGACGCCGAGATGCAGGCCGCGAGCACTCCCAGTAGAGAGCGAGCCGGCGACCGGAGAGCGCGATCTCTTCCGCCAACTGCCCCTGGGAACAAGATGGCGGGCCGGGCGGATGTGACGCCACACGCCCCAGCGTTCCAAGCTGAGCTGCCGGCCAATCAGAGGCGTCCGGGTGGGCTGGACCTGCCTCTTCCTGGTTCCCGCCCCTCCGCGCGTTCTTCGCGCTCGGCCGTTGGGGCTGCGGCCACCTGAGCCGAGCTCGCCGAGAGCAGGTCCGATTGATCTGCTTTTGTGTTTGGGCTGGGGCCCGCTTTCCCTTCCCAGGAACCGGGCAGATAAGGATTTGCATGACCGCAGAGTGCTTGCAAATTCGTGCCTCCGGCTCCTGCGGAGTGTCCGACGGGGCTTCCGGACTGTTTTAAGATTCGCTGGGAGGGGTCGGTGGTCGAGGACCCACTGCGCCGTAGGATTCCGGAGTGAGGGCTCCCCATCTTCCGCCTGACCCTAGTGTCCGGTCGCCTGCCTTACTGTGTGAGCTGCAGTGTATTCAGCTGTAAATCGGATAACACCGTGGGCCATTGTAAGTGAGCGTTAAGAGAAACACTAAAATACTATACCGATAGTGCCGAGTAGAATACTACCATCAGGCGTTTCTTTCCCACCGTTCAAGACCTTGCAATTCTACAGATGCATTCTGAGGGGTAAACTGCGGGCGAGGGAAGGGTTGGAAAACGGGTAACTGTCAGTGTGTTTGATAATTAAACTAGGCTGCAGGGGACACTAAGGAGCCCTGGAGGCGTAGTGGGCTATGCGTACGGCCACTAACCTGGAGGTCAGCAGGTAGAACCTACTAGCCGCTCTGAGAGAGACGAGGCTTTCTGCTAACGAGAAACCCACAGGGGTAGTTCTGTCTTGCCCTATAGGGTCTCTGAGTTGGCATCCACTCTATAACTGAACAGAGAGCCCATGTGGCGCCATCCTCAAGCACTCAACTGCCAACCAAATAAATGGTCAGTGATTGGGACCCACAGCCCCTCCACTGGAGAAAACAGTTTCAATAAAGATTTACAGCCTTGGAAACCCTTACAGACAATTCTGCTGGCCTAGAGCATCACTGTAAATAAATTCCACAACTGAGTCTCGATTTTTTTGGACAGAAGATACTAGCTTCCACAGGCAGGTGGGGTCAGCAGAGAACAACAGCCTGAGCATATCTAGAAGTAGGAAGATTGACCTTACTAGAGGGTAATGAGAGAATGATGTCTGGATAGGAATTTGAGCCGTTGTGAAGTGTTGGGAACGCTAAAATGAGACATTAAGAAGTTGATATTTAAATCCAAGGGCTACATAATTACAGCCAAGACTCAATCTATTTTAACGATACTAGTATTGCTAATACTTACTGGCTCCAATCCATTCTTCACACAATATTGCCAGTCATCTTCCAAAACCTTGGATAGCTCCCTCAGTGACATCCTCCTGTCCAACCGCTACTGAGTCTGCATGGACTCGAGGACCGTGAGTGAGTGAGTGACCTTTCTCATTCATCACAGTTGATTTTTGTTGTGTTGTGACACTTTCCATCATGTACCCTTTCCTGAAACTTGGGTTAGGAGGTTTGAGTTGTATCTGAATGTCAGTGGCACAGAGAGGAGGGTAAGAGGCTAAGGCAGAACCTGGCCGGGAGACTCAGCTGGATAAAGTGACCCTGCAGGAGAGCGGACAAGCAGAGAATCAAAAAGTAAATCAGGAGAGGACGGTATAACAATGCCAGAGGAGAGCGATATTATTAAACTGTTGAATACAAAGCTGATGATCCAAAATGTAAACTCCCACCTAATTTACAGTAAAACAAATAAAACCATAATGGAGACTAAGCTCCCCTCCATTAGTCTTGTGGTGTTTATGCTTTAAAAAATAAAAGTACACTTTCTTAAGCCAAAAGCAGTATATAGATTTTGGATAAATTAATGACGTGTGTGACTGAAAGTTTAGAGTCTTATAGTATCTAAGTGATCATCTGTCTGCTCCCTTCTTTATATGGAGGAAAACTCGAGCTTTGGAAAGTGGTTTTCATGTCTTTCCTATTCTTGTTTTTCTGTACAGTCGTTTATGAAGCTGTTTCCCAACGACCACTGATGACCCTGACCTCTAATGTATTATCAGTACATTGGAAAAATAAATGATCGTCTTTTTGGTGTGTTTTAGCCTTGACAGCCAATCGTTTTAGTGCATTGAGTGATATTTTAACTGCATAATTATAATATTGTTAAAAATTACGCCTTAGGATATATAATATTTTAGTGTAGCTTTGCTATTATTAGATACCATTGAGTCGATTCTGACCCATATTGACCTTACGTACAACAGAATGAAACACTGCCCAGTCCTGTACATCCTCACAATTGTTCCTGTGCTCGAGCCCATTGTTGCAGCCACCGTATCAGTCCATCTCCTTCAGGGTCTTCCTCTCCTTCACGGCCCCTCTACTGTACCAAACATGATTCTTTCTTGAGGAACTGGTTTCTCCTGGCAACATGTCAAAGTATGTCAAGTGAAGTATCGCCAACTTTGCCTCTGAGGAGCACTCGAGAGAGAAGTTTTTCCTTTTAACAGTCCATGGTATTTTCAGTATTCTTCTCTAGCTCCACAATTCAAATGCATGGGTTCTCCTTCAGTCTTCTTTATTCAGCGTTCAACTTTCACTTGCATATGAGACAATTGAAAAATACCATGACTTGGATCAGGCACACTTTAGTCTTCAAAGTAAAATCCTTGCTCTTCAATACTCTAAAAAGGTCTGGTGCATCAGATGCACCTAATGCAATACATCTTTTGATCTCTTTGACTACTGCTTCCATGAGTATGGATCCAAGCAAGACAGAATACTTGAATCGTTTCTCTCTTTATCATGAGGCTACCTATTGGTCCAGTAGTGAGGATTTTGGTCTTCTTTACATTGAGTTGTCATCCAAACTGAAGGTTACAATCCTTGATCTTCACCAGCAAACGCCTCAAGTCCTCCTTATTTTCAGCACACAAGGTTGTGTCATCTGCGTATCGTAGGTTGTTAATAAGACTTCCTCCAATCCTGATGCAGAGCTTCTAGAATGAGAACAAACAAGAAGAAATCGACTGCCCATTTGGTAGGAAGTAGCCTCTGAAAACCTTTTGCACAGCTTAGAAACATTGTCAGGTGTGAAGGGATAGTGAATTGAAGCAGAATGTTGTCAGAGATAGTGGTGGAAGATGGGCACTAAATGTGACCGAGGAGGACCGCTTTCTCAGAGTCAACCACGGTGAGAGAAAGGAATAAAGCCTGTGGGAGTGTAGTCTTCATGATCTTCATTTGCTGATGGGACACAGCTCAAGGTCAAAAGACACAGCTGCAAATATCTGCTAACTATTGGAACTTGGAATGTGCAAAATATGAATCTAGGAAAATTGAAAGTCCAAAATGAATTTATATCCTTTAGTAAGCTGAAATGGACTGTATTGGCCATTTAGAACCAGAAAATCATATGATTTACTATGCCGGGAAAGACACAAGAAGAATGATGATTCATTTTTTATCAAAACGAGCATTTCAAAATCAATCTTCAAGTACAATGCTGTCTGTGACAGGATTATATCTATCTGCCTTCAAAGAAACTCAAATGGAGCTGTTCTACCATCCTATATGGTTGCTATGAGTCGTCTTCAACTCTGGTAGTGAGTACTGAGTGGGTAAACCTACCAGCCAGCCTCTCCTCGGGGGAAAGAGGAGGCTGTATATTCTGTAGGGTTTACAGTCTCAGCAACCCTAAGGAATAGTTTTATGCTACAGGGTCACTATGACTTGGAATAAACTAGATGACAGTGGGTTTTTAGATTGTTTCTAGTTCTGGCCAGGCTGTGTGCTAGGTGTGTGGCTGCTTACCACAAGGTTTGCAGTTCAAACCCACCAGCTTGCCCCATAGGAGAAGATGAGTCTGTCTGATCCTGTATTTCCAGTATCAGAAACTCTATATAGGCTCAGAATTAACTCGATGGCAGTGGATTGTTTGGTTAATGATATTGAGCTTCTCCATTGTCTCTTTTCACAGATTGAGTTTCATGTATTGACATTTATGTATGTTTCATGTCCACTTTCTGTTGTGGAAAAAGGAATTTGCAATAAAGTAGTTGGTCTTGCAAAAAGTCTCTCATGCAGTCTCCAGCTTCCCATCTATCAGAAGGCCATATTTTAAAACTACTATTCCTTCCTCTTTGTTTCCGATTGTCACATTCCAAGTACCTCTAATTATGAATGCATCTTGATTCCATGATTGATCAGTTTCCGAGTAGAGAATTTGGTAGAAGTCTTCCATTTCTTCATTCTTGGCTTTAGCGGTTGGTGCATAAATGTGAGCAATAGTTCTACTAACTGGTCTCCCTGGTAGGCATAGAGACATGATTCTATCACAGCAGTGTACTTCACGATGGATCTTGAAATGTCCTTTATGACAATCATGTGTTGCCTTTCTTCTTGAATTTGTCAGTCCTGGCTGGTAAACCACACGATTGTCTGATTCAAAATGACCGAGTAGTCCGTGGTGACTCACTAATGTCTAGGATATCCATCTTTATGGGTCCCATCTCATTCTGACAAACTCAAATGTCCCTAGATTTGTACTTTGTACATTCATGTTCCAACTAATGGATGTTTAAACTGTTTCTTCTCATTTTGAATTATGCCTAATGAGCAGGTGAATGCCCTGCCTTGGGCTCTTAACTGCAAGGTCAGTAGTTAAAAGCCCCCAGCCTCTCTGTGGGAGACTGAGTAGGCTTTCTATTCGGTAAGTATTTACAGCCTCAGAAACCTAGAGGGCAGGCTTCTCTTCCCTCTCCCCTTACTATAAGCCAGAACTGGCTCCATGGAAGGAGCTTGATTCTTTGCTCCTTTGAAGAGGCAGATCTCCGGCAGTCAAATTTGAGTGCCTTTCAACCCGAGAGGCTCGTCTGGCACTAGATCAGATGATGCTCTGCTGATAGTCACCAGGTTTTCCCTGGTTAATCCCTCAGAAGTGATTAGTTCTTAGTCTGGAAACTCCACTGAAACCTCTTCACCTTGGGTGACCCTGCTGGTGTTTGAAATATTGGTGGCATGGCATCTAGCATCACAGCAACACGTGAGCCATCACAGTATCACTAACTGACAGATACGTAGTGGTACAATAAATAAACACGACAACCACACAAATGCCTACTGGCTGAATATCAACCTGGACTACTGTAATCAATTTACTTGCCATCTTCTGCCACTAGAGGGAGGGTCTATGCCTTTGAGCTGAACTTTCTCAGCCTTGGATTCAACAACTGACATGTAAAACCCCACATTCATCAAAAACAGGGCTTTAGTAAGATCTACGAGAGTCACACTGGGACCTTGTTAAACTGTAGATTCTGAATCAATTTATCTTGGGTGCACATTCTCAGCTGGGGGAGGGGGGGAGGTGAACTGGGATGAACTGGTTAGAAGCCTTGGTTGCAATGTGCTGTATGATCTCATTCATATGAAATAAGCAATAAGCAAATATATAGAAATCAAAGATTAATGGTTGGTGAGGGAAGATGAAGACATTTTTCAGTAGTCAAGGAGTTTTTTTATGTTAGTGATATGACTTGGAAAAGTAGAGAGAAATGGTGTTATAACATGAAGAATGTAATCGATGCTATTGAATTACACATGGTAAAATCATTAAATTGGCAACTGTTCACCTGTATATATTTTATCCACAATAAAACCTTTTTTTTTGAAATTTAAATGAGAATGTTAGTAAACATAATGTTTTACAAGGATCTAATTACATGTAATCAGGAGATTGCATGTATTCAGGAGAGACCAATCCATCATGTTTGGTAAAGTGGTAGGGCAGCAGAAAGAGGAAGAACCCTTGATGAGATGAAATGACACAGTGGCTGCACCAATAGGCAGAAAGGTAACAACAATGGTGAGGATGGTGCAAGCCCGGCGGTGTTTCATTCTGGTACACAGCA